CTCTCTGCACAAGCGACCCAATCCGCCGAGGGACGCCAGGTGTCAAGAGAGAAGGGGAGGAGAAGCAGTATTGTTTTCTAGCTTTTAGTTTCCAGTCTCTTTTTGTCTAACACAAACCAAAAATGGGTATGTATGAGAGATGGTTTCGAGATGATTAACTTGAGGTGGTTGAGATTTTCGAAAACAATTGGAATGTTTAGTAATCGAGGTTTTATGGATACCGTGGAGACCGGTTTCTTTATATCGTATTTGATTTGTCAATAATTTTATTTTTTTTGTAGCGGTTATTTTCCAGACAAGGGTGAATACTTTGCACATATAGTGTGGACAGATCCTTTTCCTTTATATTTAGCCCCGCAATTTCCTTAATCAATACCTTTGATGTCCTCTCAGAATAACAGGGTATAGGATGGGTTTAGCACAATAATTCTTGTATACCTGAACCCTAGAGGATAAGAGAACTCTATTGGTAACAGTGCCATTGTGATTTGTGTTGCGCATCAAACATTTGCTCAGATTAGGTCCCAGTATGTTAAGTACAGCAAATGCAGGGTCTGGGGAAAATACGTAATGTAATTTCATTTTACGAAATGGAATGCCGTATACGAAATGGAATGTAAAGAGGTCGTTTTTTGTGTGCAAACCTTCAGATACACATGCAGGCGTCCCCTCTTGAATTGTATCCACATACCCAGAGAGGATTAACTATTCATAAGTCGGACATTGTTGCTGTTCAGCTGTTATTCTATCGAGTTTTCGCCAGATGGCAGCACTTCTGCTATGTCGGCCAGTAGGTGGCACAGAGCCTTGTTGATGTGTTTTTTCCGATTTGGTTTCCGTGCATCGATACCTGCAACATTTTAAGTTGAACATATGAACACAACTGAGACATAAAAAAGGTTTTGTGCATGTACTGCGCATCATTTGGTAAATTACGCAATATCATGTTCCATTTCGTATACGACATTCCATTTTGGGAAATGGAGTTCCATTACGTGTTTTCCCTACAGCGCAAATGCACACTCGAAATCTTTGTTTGTATTCTTGATTGAACATCTGAGTGATTTACAGTAGTCAACGATAAAAGTAGTAATGTAACATCGATATGGAATGAGGAATTTACCAATAGTTTAAAGGACTTTTAGTTATTATGTTATCTGAAAAGTTTCAGGATGTGCACTCTTCAAGTACACACTTGGTAACTGTTGCACACTGCACATTTCATTTTTTTTTTTTTTTTTTTCGTGCACACCCGAGATCTTGTTGAATGCTGTACATTCCATACTGGATTAGGTCTGTCTTTCACATACTGATGAAGGCTGACAAACCTGCACCACATATTCTGATTCTGTATAACTACGGTAAATTTGGAAATGCATCCCCACACTGATTTTTGGGTGAACAAAATATTTTTCAAAATATTTTTCAAATAGCTTCTGTTTTGTTTCATACGAATCTAGCACTCACTTCCTTTGGAAATGAAGCACAACTAGGATATCGGTAGCGATATCTGGGGAAGGCGTGATATATATCAAGGAATTTGTGGGAATGATATCGTGAAATATCAGTAGAACTCTAGCATAGTATTTTGACATGTTTCCAGGTTTCATAAGGGACTTTGCCCCCTTAAACCCTCTTTCATCTCTACCCCCTGCCTGGTCTACAAAATCTTCACCTTGCATGTCCCAGCAGGATAGAGTCTGGGCAAACCAGGCACATTTTCAGTAGATATAGGGGGCTTTGCCCTCTTAAGCCTCCTTTTGGGGTGGGGGTGGGCTGCTCCCTCTTTGGATTGCAGGCTCCCCCTGTTTCCAGTTCGCCGACATAGCTTCAGACTACTATAAGCTTCGGAATCTGGAACCGAGATCATCTCGGGATCCTCCAGCCTGACCATGACAAGCATCCCAGTCCTTTGCTGATGGGGAGCCTCTTTGGTTCCCCTGTTAATCTCTTCATCTCTATCACCCAGCCATACATTGGGCACACCCACACATACACTCCCCAAAGAGATGACACCCTGCAATAGATAGATTCAGCCCATCTATTACAGGAGCAGCCACCCCAAAGAGGGGTTGGATGGAATCATAGTTAAATTTTTATGAATTCTACTTTGAATCTGTTGTAAAGGGCCTATCCGTGCTGGCCAGACACTGGTTATCTAAAATTTGATATGAATGAAAATACTGGATTTCCCACTATTTTCTATATCATAGAGATTGTAACCACAGCTCCATCAAGTATAAATAGAGATGTTTCCCATAATAACTTAGATTTTTTTTTTTTTTTTTTTTTTTTTTTCTTTTTGAAAGTATTTGTATCTTGGCTTATTATTTTTGCAGGCCTCCTCTACAAGAATATCATCTTCAATTTGCCCTAACTTAGTGCGGCCATACCGTACAGATTTTCTGGTAGCTGTACTTGCTTACTGGAAAAATGTATAATTTTTAATAACAAAAATATTACAAATGAAAGCGGTCTTAGATTTAGATACAATATCATAAAAGTCATGCACAAAAATATACCAAAATTACCTACAAAATAAAGGGAAAGATAGTAGTAGTAGCCAAAGTAGAAAGTGATAGAACATAAAAATCACTTTTTTTCTGTTGCTGTGGGTGTAGCCTTTTGCTACAGCCACTTGGGCTCAGGTTCTCAGGAATGGTATTAGATTTTCCCTATTTTTGTTGTTTTTCTTTCTTTATATAGGTCTGTTTCAGTTTCTTCTTTAACATTCCCATGATGTAGGTAGCTGATAATGATTTACAAATTTATTAAAACACCCAGCTTTCCTTTGATGCTTAAAGAAATCTTGTAGCAAAATTTAATTATTTTCATTTCTGTAAAGCAGACAGGATGATTTTGTTTTGAGTTTTGTTGGTGATGCTTATAATTGTATTTATAAAGGTGGAGTCAGTCCCTCCTCTCTTTATATTGCTATATTTATATTCATTATTTTTGTTTTACCTACACAATTACACAGATTAATCAATACATATATGCATATACATAGATGTACAGATACACCTGGCCCCCTATATTTCATTTTAGGTGTGTAACTAAATGTTTCCCTTAATATCTGAAATGTGCACTGCTGCTTACATAAGCATATGTTACAGTGCAAGGATTGAAACTGATGTTTCACACATCAGGATTGAGTGGTGAATTTTGAACTCGAGGGAACTATAGTTACATCCATCCATACATAAATACGTATGCACATAAAGAAGATATATACATGTTACATACAAAAGCCTCACTGATTTAAAAGGGTTTGTTTTATTTAAGTTCTGGCATAAAAACAAACATTATTAATTATTGAAATCAAAGAAATTTCCCCCAAAGAAACTGACAGATGCCTGTTTGTGTATTACAGATGTATATCTTATTTTCTAAATTTTCCAGGTTTGAATTTTAGAAATTCAGAGTTTCGTAAGTATAAGACTGAAAAAATCACGTTGCAAAGCACATTATGATTTTGTCGCAAATATGCAGATCACTAATTTAAGGCATGTGTTACATACAGCAGCACACTATGATGGCATTAGCTGTGTAAACTTTCCTTGCAGTTGGATCATATTAGTGGATATTGTTTTCAGGGAGAAATGTATAACTGAAGTAGATATATTGTTAGAGATTTCACAATTGTCCTTTATTCTGGTGTTATTGTCATACTTGCTATATTTTCTTTTGAAATGTAGCTGTATACCTTGAACAAGGAACAAATAATCAACATTTGAGTAAAAACTGATTTCCACATTTGGAATCTGTCAAAGTCAATTGTGGACAAGATATTGCAAAGAGATTTTATACTATGCTTTGCACTATAGGTGTTGCTGATAACACTTGCCATGATTTTTCATTTTATGCTGCTCACTCCATAGAAAGATGAAGAGCAAATGATTTGGCCTCATCTCTGCAGATTTTTGTTTTTTTATTATCTGATTCTGTTGACTGACAAAATAGGCACACCCCTGTTTTATGAAACTTTATTAACATTGTACTGTATGGTCTTCCTTCACAATTTCACGTTGATCTTCCAAGCATAAGACTGTGTAGTTTGAGACACATCACATGTTTTGTTTTTCTTGAAATGGCAGCACTGAATATGGAAATGACACATACTGTTTTAGGGTAGGCTTTTTAAGCTTATTTATTCAAGCTCATATTGCAGATTGATGACCCATTAATCTTTCTTGATGATGTATTTGTAAACATGTACTGTAATGTAATAGCATCACTTGAAGTCAGTATCTCCAAAGCACAGAAATCACTTTTGCATGAGGATATTGTGCATGAATTCTTGCACTTATTTTTTGGGTCCACCTTGGAATATCTAGAAAGATGAATCTTGCTAAAGGCAGCCCTGAAATGATTTTGTAAGACTTCTTTGTTTAAAGTTCAGAACTGTCAATTGGTTCCAGTGGTTATCAAGTATGTGATTTTTAGACACACTCATTATTCAGTACTGTCATTAACAGATAATTAATCAGAGAACACTGTCCTGTGTGAGTGCACACAATTATATCACATTTTGATTGCACTGTTTATTGTCATTATTATTATCATCATCATTATTGCTTGTCAAACATTGCCTACAGCTTTTGCTTGCAGTTTATATTTTACAGGTTTGTATTTTGTTATTTATGGTTACGCAGAAAGGAAAAGAAAAAAAATAATTGAGATTCATGATATCATAAGATGAATTATTTACTGCATTAGTCTTATAGTTTTTAATTATTTTCCAATGAAATTAATTACATATATTATTTACATACCCACATAGAATTTAACACATTCACATTTCTTTTATCATACAAAGTATTATCCTATACCATACACCATACACCTTGAAACCTCCCTACTAACATCTCTGTCTGGATTGCCAGGTGTGAGTACAGGAGCCTCCTTTGGCATGGCCATTTTGTGCTCTGTCTTGGTGTTTTCGGGTCTCCAGATGTACAAGAATCAGCTGGGCTCGACGCGTCTCATGACCCTCGTAGCAGGCTATGTGGCCTCCTGGCTCTTCATCTTCATGCTGACTGTATCCTTTTCTATGCATTGTGTTAAGTAGCTCTTGAACTGAATGCTTTTATACTGTATAATGTATATGAAAGGGTTAGATTGTATGTTGAACTATAAGGTTCTTTGGGTATGAAAGATAGAGAATGTGTAATTGAGTGTGGTTGGAGACTATGAGACTGCCTGTGGTCCTAGGAAAAGATTTGTAGTGGAAAGAATGCAGGTGTGAAATTGAGAATAGAAAAAGGAAAGTGAGATTGACAGTGTCTTTGAAGTAAGCATAGTTAATACTTTTTCAACTTGCCATGTCTGCAATTATTGTAATTGTAATTTTCCTTAAGTATGGTACACAGGCTGTAAACAATCTGGAAAACATCATGTTTGGGAAAGGTTTCCAGGCACGAGTCATCCCTGAGGTCACCCTGTGCCTCGTCCTAGCTTGTGCTGCTGCGGGAATGGTCCACAGAGTTTCCATCACTGTATGGTAAGTTCTATAATTTTTTTAGTGGATATGTGGATACTGGGGTAAAACCGTTATATTCACTTAAATCTTTATTTTCTTTCTTTCGTGAATATATATTTTTTTCTTTTCTTCTTTTTTTCTTTCTTTTTCTTTTGCTTGAATTGATTTTTTTTTTTTTAATTGAACTGAAGTAAATTGAATTGAATTCTTTGTCTTTCTTTTAATTTAATTGAAGAGCCTGTTTATGGATGGTGTCATGATACAGTAGGTTGCTGCCTTGTGGCTTGTGGTTGGCTTGCCTCAAGGAATAAGTTAATCACAAGCAGTGCAGTGTGAGGCTGCTATTTCATTCTGTGACACAGAGTAGAAGGGCATATCTCTTGAAAAACCTGTATTAATAGAATAAGATGAAGATAGAATGTTACTTCATGGAATGTGATAAGTGTTTTGTGTATACGAGTTACCAAAAAATGTATATATGAATAAAAAAGATTAACAAAAATAAACGCTGTGAAGTTGTTAATACATGTATGTGTTTTGTGCGTTTCAGTTTGCTCTGTTCGATAGTGGGATTGTATTACATCAACAAGCTCAGCCAATCGACTACTTCTGCTCAGGTATCCCACAATGCCAATTACAAGAAGAAGAAATAAGGATGAAGAAAATAAAGAAAGGAAATGTTTAAGTCAAACTATCAACATTCAAAAACTTGCTCTCCTTGATTTCTGTGTTACATATAGGAAGGTGATATTCCTAAATTTATGCCGGAATTGTAATGTTTATTGATATTTATTTTTTTATATTTTTTTCTCTACTTTTTTGTTGTTAAAAATCTGTACATTTGAAGTGACAAATATGAGATGGTCCTTCCTTATGGAAGATAATTTTGTTATGTAATGTTAAAACTATTTGGTTGTTTTTTGTTTATTAGAAATGGATGAGAAAGAAGCAGGAAACTGATATTTAATTTCCTCGAGACAATTAAAAGCACAAGTTTGCCGTGATTTTCTATTAAAGTACATTTGAATTAATACAACTTTGTTTATCCTATATGAAATCTCAGTATGATGGGGGGAAAAAGAACAAAAAAAAAAGGTATGGGGAATGAGCATAAAAGGAAAGAAAGACAAAAAAACTACAAAACTAATGTATGCTGTAGCTGATAGTGTTGAATGTTTGTGCTAATTCACAGATAACCAGAATGTTACTTTTTGTTGCTGATTCACTAATAAATAATGAAGGACATCAGTATGTCTAAGAATTTGTTTAAATTTGATTAGATAACCAGAAAGTACAAAAGATAGAGCCAGTTACCAAAGTGAAGAGAATATTCATGTTTTGGAAACTTTTATTGTCTGGTTTGAATACTCAACATAGATCCTGTGAGGTAAAAGGAATAATGTTGAATAAGTAAAAAAAAAGAACTACAATTTGGAGAGTTAGAATATCTGCACTGAATAATTTATTGTAAGATAAGAAAAAAGGTCAATACATAGGTCATATTAAGCATGATCTTGTGAACGTTGACAAATTTAGTACCTAATGGAATCATATTCATAAAGAAATGAAGAGCCGCCTATATATTTTCAAGATGAATATTTTTTTGAGAAAGGTCATGAAATTTACACATCAATTTAAAAACTTGGAAAACCATTTAATTGGCGTGTGTGTATGTGCAAATAAACACCTTCAAAAGTCATATGTTAAATTTTGCCATGTGATATATGAAAACCCAATAATATGACAATTTTCTCAAATGTGTAAGCACAGGCAGTTTTTCATATGATTTCATTAAAGATGCTTATAAATTCAAAATATAAGGAAAGGTATCGTAAATTACATACCTGTAAATACTAAAGAGAACAGCATGAGATTACACATAAACGCAACTAGTAATAGGTAGAACCTTAAATGACAAATATCTTGACCATTTATAGACCTACTAAAATCGGGACACTAGTACGGACCATATTTTACCGTTTACCCGGAAAATTTTCTTAATGAATTTTCTTTGAAATTAACAGAAAACGATTCTTATTGTCAAGAACATTTTCAAGCGCAGACTTGTGTAAATTTACTGTGGTATTCTGTCTGTCTGTCTGTCTGTCTGTCTATCTCTCTATCTCTCTATCTCATTATTTCTCTCACTCATATTTGCAACTGCATTTATTAAAAGAAAGTTGTTTCGTTTTGGATGACATGATTTGCTATCCAATAATAAATGGTTTAGTCTTCCTAAAACAAGTTATGAATGCATACTACATAAAGAGAAAGCATTGGAGCAAACATTTTTGCTCCATTTTCAGAAATTTTTATTTTTTGACCATTTAAGGAACCATGTGTTTCAGTCGTTATTCCACAGACAAATGGCCGTCCACATAGTTCAGCACTAAAAGCGGTATCTATTTGACCTTTTTCACATTCAGTGAGGACCTGGTAGGGGACCTTTGACCCAGTCCACGACCTGCTTATTATGCCATACGAATTCACCCTTTGGCTCCTCGACGTCGTGAGGGAGAAGTGCCAAGTAGACGGGGCCTTCGGCTCCTTGTTCGGTGGTGAAAACACCCTGTAGAAACAAAAGGAAAGGTAAATTTATATTTGCAACACAACCCGTGGCTGGAATAATATATTAACTGCTCACCAAAAGGAGTCAGGTTCGCATTAACATTTAAGACTGTATAGGAACACCGACTATATTCCATCCAAATCGGATTCACTACAATTCAATATCTTCTTGCACTTTCTTACACCGGATCACAAACCCTTTGCGATGTCATGTCGGTCCTAACGGCCCCCGGGTTGCAGCAGTTGACGATGAGGTCTTCACGAGGGTCATCATCGAAGGCCCGCTGCTGGACGCGGGTTAGGGCCGTCACTCCCACTTTACTGACCGAGTACGGGCAGCTTTGCCACCCTGCCTCCCTCCAGGTCCCGTCCTTGGCCCTCCTAGGAGTTTAAGAAGGCTTACTTCATTTAGGTCAAATGCTATAACTGTCTCATTGTCTTATCTAAGTCCCGGCCTGTCAGTAGAAGTTGATGGCCAGCTTATCCGCTCCTACACGAGCCAAGAATCCTTCACCGGCATCACTTACTCGACGAATTGATTCATGAAATCGCTCAGCTCGTCCTCGGTGAGTTCCTCCGAGGACAGCTTCTCCCTGAGGCTGAACGCCTGCGGCTCGTCTCCGTTCACATCCGGGAGGAAGCCCACGATGCTGGACAGCGTGACCACCCTGGCGTGGGGTCGCAGCAGCGGGAAGAGGCTGCGGCAGACGGCGAGCGTGCCGAAGAAGTTGACGCGGATGGTGTTCTCGGCCTGCTCTCCGAACGGCTCCGTCGCGGATCCCTGTCAATGAAGCGAGTGTCGAATGGGTATACGTAAGTAAATGTCAATCTAACCATGGTAGCAACAAAAGAAAAACAATTGGCGATAGGTTACAACAATACCCGATACGAGTGAACGTATGCTACAGTAAAATAAGTAAATAAGCCCCACCTTATAGGCAATGGCAGCGTTATTGACAAGGACGTCCAGGCCTCCGTAGGTTTCTTCGAGGTGCGTCTTGAAGGCGGCGATGCTCTCTTCGTCGTCGATGTCCAGCTGATGGAAGCGAACCGAAAGACCTTCCTGAAAAGGGAAATAAACCAAATGAACTAACTGTGGGAGCAAAGAGATTGACATCACCATTTATCATTGTTCCTATGTCTCGTCATCCCAATCAAGTGATGTTTTCTTCATCCATTTTATTTCTTTTACATTTATCACCATTATCCTCCCCTTCTTCCTCCTCATCACCACCACCACCCTCCTCCTCCTCCTCCACCACCACCTCCTCTCCTCCACCTCCACCTCCACCTCCACCTCCCTCCCCCTCCTCCACCACCTCCACCTCCACCTCCACCTCACCACCCACCTCCACCACCACCACCCCACCACCACCACCTCCACTTCCACCGCCACCTCCACCGCCACCACCACCATTCCAAGGACAACCATCATGATCACAACTATCCTTATCCCCCCAAAGTACCTCCTCCAGCGCCGCCACGGTCTCCAGGCCCTTCTCTTCGTCGCGGGCAGTCAGGTACACGCAGCCCTCGAACTGAGAGCACAGGTCCTTGACGATGGCGAGACCGATGCCCTTGTTGGCTCCCGTCACCTGAGGGAGAGGACGCAGAAGGACTGTGATGATGGCTGTGGGATTCTAGTTTGCTTGGATATTGTTGTAGATATTTACAAATGTTTTTTACAGATATTCTAAGTGTAATAGACCTCCCCAGTACACGCTATCATGTGCAGTTATATCCACGCGTGTGTGTTTTTATGTGTGTGTACATGAGTGTATTTTACCTATATCTGTCTGTCTGATCGTCTTATTTTACCCCTCCCTCCCCCTACGTGTATATATGTATATATACAAAATGCATGCATACGTATATATACATATATATATGTATAATGTAATATATATATTATATATATATATATATATATATATATATATATATATATAT